GTGTGTTGTAGGAGAAAAAGAGTGCGTGTATGAGGGCGACATTCATGACGGCTCCCTAGCAGGTACGCTTTCTTCGCTTAGTTTTGTGTGTGCTTATGTTCTCTTCTTTTTGTTCTTTTTTCCAATTATTTATTTTTTATTTTTATTTTTTGTTGCTGCTGTGCATGCGTGCCGGGTAGGCGGGTGCTTGCCGTCGGTCTTTCTCTGCCTGTCGCTGTGGGCCGCCGCCGCAGATGCAGCAGGATCTGAGTTATCCCACAAAGTGCAGGGACATGACTCTCCTTCGTGAGTCGCTGCAGCGGTTTGAGAAGGCAATGCAGCGCACCATGCTGGTGATGAAGGAGATGCGGAACGCGCTGGAGGAGGTGAGCGTGGCGTTCCAGGGCCTGACCTCCCTGAGTTGCTGCGGCGACGGCGCCAAGGCGACGATGCGGCGCTTCGTGGCGGAGATGCGGGAGTTGAAGGATGGACCGACGTTCCTGCAGTACAACAAACGCGTCCACGAGGACGTGGTGGAGCCTGTGAAGCAACTGTGTGCGCGACTGACAGACGCGGAGTCCCGCGCACGTCAGCGCGACGAGGCGCTGAGGCAGTACGAGGCCCTGCGGAGGGAAGTGGCGAGGAAGGAGGAGAAGTACGCCAGGCGCCACAAGAGCCTCGCCGAAAGCAAGACGTACACGAAGAAGACCGACCTCCGTGAGGCGAAGCTGAAGGTCTGTGCGGCGATGACCGCCGCCTTCAACCAGTCGTTTGAAAGACTCCTGCTGCAGACGGCGACGGTGACGGAGGCCACGATGCGCCGCTACATCTACTTGAATGCGGCGTTCCTTGTCGCTGTTGTGTACGCGTTTCATAGGGCCGCAACGTCAGCGGAGTTGCGGCCGGCGCAGCAGCTGCCGTCGGTGCCGTCTGACACTCATCTGGCTGCCGCAATGGGGGCCTCCGCACCTGCAGAGGGGGGCATGACCGCGCGAGCCTCTCCCCTGGCCGCGACGGAGAGAGCAGCGGCTGCGCTTCAACCGACGCGCCAGGCGGCGTCTCCAGCGTGTACTGCGCATCCCGCGTTTTTAAGCGCTCCCTCAACAGTTGCTGCCCCGCGCTATTCGGATGCCTCAAGGAGTGGCTCAGTTCTGCAGGTACCTGGCGTGGACGACGCTCACGGCGCCTCGGGCCGCCCCCCCGTCGACCTCTCCCCATCAAGGCCCCGAGCCCCTGCCAGTGAGGCGCCGGTCAACGGAGCCGAGGACGCTGAGGCGATGAGGCCGGAGTTCTACAGCATGGACCACCTGCGCATGGAGCGAGGGACGGCAGGCAACGTCTCCGGCCTCCCGATTCCCCTTCTGTGGCGGTCCCAAGATTTCTGAGGCTCCATTCAAGGCACCCTACTCCCCCTCCTCTCCCCGTTCCTGACAAGTAAGACGCTTCGTGGCCGTTTCAACAGAAGGGTACTGCTGCCGCCGCATTGCTTTGCGGGTTTTTTTTTGCTGCGTTGCCCCGCTGGAGTGCGTCATTTTGACACAACCAATCGAGAGGGATTTGCGGCCTGTGCCCATTTTTTTCACAGGCGTGTGTGGAGAGAAACTTTGCGTGTGTTGGGGGGTGCGGGTCGTTTCGCGACATCGGCTTATGATGGACTGGCCGGCACAACTTGTGCCGGCGGTGCTGTTGCTGCTTGTCGCAATCACAAGCAAACGGCGTCACAAACAGCAAAGAATGAGTTTCGCTGACGGTGGAAAAAGTGCGTGTATTATTATTATTATATATACGTGTGTATGTGTGGGTGTGTGTGCGTGTTTGTGCATGGGACGGAGTGTTGGTGCGCTTTTTGAGGCGCCATGCGTGCTATTTGTCTCACTTTCCCTCTTTTGTTTCTTTATTTGCTGCCTTAATGTGTGACTGCTGCACACACATACGCACACCGAGGGAGAGAGTGGATTGTAGTAGTAGTAGTTTTTTTTTTGCGGTGCATCGACCTCATGCTACCCCGGCGACTCAGCGTTTGTCGGGGCTTGAGCTTGCGGCGGCGCCTCTGCGGGAGCCAGCAGGGAGCGTGGCTGCCGTGCGCCGCGCTGCCGCCTTGCACGGCGGTTGCCATGAGGGACTTTGCGGGCTCGGCTCTGCTGCAGCCCGATAGGCGCGAGCGGAGACGCATTGGCCGCTTTTTATTTTCCCACAGGGGCGCTCAGTGGGCGCTGTCCCTTCTTCCGTCGTGCCGGGGGTACGTAACGGGGGGCTGGCGGAGTTTGCGTGGGACACGCGGTGGGGCCGCCGACGCCGCCCCACGTGTGCTCCGCTCTGCGCAGCCGGGCGGCGACGGGAAAAACAATTCCGAGGAGGAGTCGGACGGCGGCGCCGTCGCTGCCGACGACGGCGGCAACGAGGACGCACTTGTGGAGCGCTCCGTCCTCTTTGTGCTGGTCATGTTCCTGCTCTCGTACGTGCTCTACCGCCTCGCGCAGCCGTCAGGGAAGCGTACGGGGTGGGCCTCACTGATGAAGCACGCCGACGCCGTGGAGAGCGTTCACCTCTACCAGAACTACGCGCAGGTGCAGACGGAGGAGGCAAAGGTGTTCCTTGGCCTCGTGGACGACCAGCACACGCAGGAAAAACTTGAGCGGCTGCGGGAGGCCTGCGTCACCGCCAAGGTGAAGAAGCAACAGACGCAGAAGGAGCCGAAGGATGCGGCGAAGCCCACGGGGTTTACTCTCGCCATTCAGGGAACACCGCTGGCGGAGCACGCCCTTGTGGGCCTAGGCGTCTTTGCGTGGGTGATTCCGTTTGTGTTCTTCCCCGTCTTTGTCATGATTCTCTCCAACTCGATTGGAAAGGCGGTGGCGACCACCATGGAGGCGGGAAAGCGGTCGCAGAGGGTGAAGGACATGGTGTTTCGTCTGGAGCACACCTCCAACACACGCTTCCACGACATCGCGGGGATGCAGGAGGCGAAGCGGGAGATCACGGAGGTGGTGGATTTTCTGCGGCAGCCCGAGCGTTACACCGCGTTGGGGGCGAAGATACCGACCGGCGCCCTCCTGCTGGGCCCGCCAGGCACGGGGAAAACCCTCCTCGCCAAGGCGGTGGCGGGGGAGGGTGGGGTGGGGTTTATCCCGGTCTGCGGCTCCGACTTCGTCGAGCTCTACGTTGGCATGGGCGCCCTGCGTGTGCGGCAGCTCTTCGAGACGGCGAAGAAGCAGCGCTGCGTGGTGTACATCGACGAGATCGACGCCATCGGCCTCAAGCGGAGTGGGGCGGGCCACGGCGAGAAGCAGGAGCAAGAGCACACGCTGAATGAGCTCCTGACGCAGCTGGACGGCTTCGGCTCGGGCAAGCGGGGCGACGTCATGATTCTCGCCTCCAGCAACGTGCCGCAGGAGATGCTCGACCCCGCGCTGATCCGCCCCGGCAGGTTTGACCGCATCATTCACGTCGACACCCCCGTTATCTCGGAGCGGATTGACATTTTTAAAGTGCACCTCAGCGGCCTGAAGCTCCTGCGGGGGGCGGGGGAAGCGGCGGGGGGCGACGCGGCGCGGGCGCCTGTTGACGCCGCCTCAACGGAAGCCGCAGCCGAGACGACGACGACGAAGGCCGCGAAGGCGGCGGGTGAAGCGGAGACAACGGGGCGTCATGCAGCGCAGGAGCAGAGGGGCGCTGCGGCGGAGCACGCCGCGGAGACTGCGGGCGGCGACCGCAACGCATCCGAGGCGACGGCGGCGGATGCCGTCAGCAACCAGAAGGCTCCGTCCTCTTCCTCCTCCTCGTCGTCGCCGGCAGCGACGGCGGAAGCTTCAACGGTAAAGGAGTCGGCGCTTATCGTCAGCACGCTTCAGCGCGAGCTGGACGAGGAGAAGCAGCGTCTGCAGGAGGAGGAGAGCCTGTTCGGCTACGCCTCCTTTGATTTCCGTTCCCTCCTGGCGAAGAAGAGCGAGGCGGAGCGCGCCCTGATCAACGCCTACGCGGAGCGCCTGTGTGGTCTTTGCCCCGGCTTCGTTGGCGCCGACATCGCAAACGTCTGCAACGAGGGGGCGATCCTCGCCGCCCGCGAGGGGTGCAAGTACGTCGACATCACCCACCTTGAACGCTCCATCGACCGCGTGCTCGCCGGCATTGAGCACCGCAGCCGCGTGCTCACTGCGTTCGAGCGGAACGTCGTCGCCCATCACGAGGCGGGGCACGCGGTGGCGGGGTGGTTCCTCCACCGGGCGGACCCCCTCATGAAGGTCTCCATCGTCCCGCGCGGCGGCTCCGCCCTCGGCTACGCGCAGTACCTGCCAAACGAAAACCGCATGCGCACGGCGACGGAGATTCGCGACGCCATCAGCGTGACGCTGGGCGGCCGTGTGGCGGAGAAGATTTTCTTCAACCACCTCTCCACGGGCGCCTCCGACGACCTCCGGAAGGTGACGCTGATGGCCTACCAGTACGTGAGCTCCTTTGCGGAGCGGCCCGTGTACCCGGCGCCCGGGACCCCGGGCACGCGCCTCGTGAAGCCGTTTGGCCCAAAGGTCTCAAACGAGTTGGACGTCGAGGCGAAGAAGTTCGTGGATGAGGTGTACGAGTCGACGTACCAGCTCCTGCGCTCCAAGAAGGCGGAGATGGAGATTCTTGCGAAGCACCTGCTCGAGAAGGAGGTGCTCACCTACGACGACGTGGTAGGCTACCTCGGCGTGCGGCGCCCCAGGCTCTCGGACCGCAAAAAGCTGTCCGAGGAGGGGCGCTGCAGAGCCGGGCCTGGATACGGCGGCGTGCGTCATCTCCCCATGTCTCCGCAGCCGTGCGCCCCTTGACCGTCAATGGGAGGAATGGGCGGATTGCTAGCCAGTTGCGTCTGCGTGCGCAGGCACACGACGCATACAGGCATACATTGAATCTTTATCTACATGCGTCTTCTGGGGGGCGGTGCCACTCGCTGTGCTGCCGGACTTTGCTGTGCCGCGGTGCGTCGCGTAGGTGCCCCCCTCCGCCGCCGTGGACACGCTGTGCTGCAGAGCCGGAGCTGCGGTGGGGAAGGCGAGGTTTGAAGCGACGAAGCGCAAAGGACGAGGACGACGACAGACGGTTCCTCTTAATTCTGTAACACACGCACGCGTGGCCGCCAATAACCCAAAGAGGCAAGTCACACACACACGCAGTGACAGAGCGAGAAAGAAAGAAGGCGATAAAGCGAGGAGGAGGTAACGCCTAGCAAAACTTCGTTGACTGCGGCAACGACGAAAGATGCCCCCCACGCGGTCTGAGCGGCGGCTGGATGAGGCATCAACCGCGGTTGTCGTCCTCCTTTTTCTGATTGTGGTGATCTCCGCTTCTTGTGTGTTTTTTTTGTTCGTTCTTTCCCGCATTTCTGTTTTGCCTGCGGGCGCGAAAGTCGAGGTCCCTGCCGGTATGATAAAAATCCGAATTCTGCACCTCAGCGTCCTCTCGGAGGATGCAGGGGACTTCAGGCACGGCGGCCTCTACGTCGTGGTGCGCGTGGGCGACGAGGCGCAGCGCACGGCGGCCCTTGCAGAGGGCGACCGCGCTGCCTGGAACGAAGTCTTCCACTTTCACCTGCCCTCCCCTCCCGCCGCTGGCGTGGCAGCCGGCAGCGCGAGGGCGCTGCTGGAGGCCCCGCTTCTCGCGGGTGGCCCACCACCGCTGGAAATGCCGCCGTACCCGCCCTCGTTGCCGCGGCGCCGGCTGCACGCCAGCGGCGTCGGTGGCAGCGACATGGCCGCCGTCGCGCCCGCCGCACCGTGGGCCGGCAGCCCCTTCGACGTCCCGACGGTGGCGCTGGAGCTCTGGCGTCACTCGGCGACCTCCGATGACTGCCTTGCGAAGTATCACTTTCCTGTCGCGCACGAAGTGGGCGAGGGCGTCGTGGACAGTTGCGTGCGGCTCAGGAGTGCGTCTTCGTACTCCGTTGAGTTCGCCCTCCGCGTCCGTGTGGCGTTGGTGCACGCCGGCCCCGCCCACGCACTGCAGCGCCCCGCGCCCCAACGGGCAGTTCTGCGGGAACCGGCCGTTCTCTGGGGACCGTAGCGGCTCTGTGGCCGACGCGTCTGCCGCGGGCGGTGAAGCGGCAACACCCCTTCTTCCAGCAAGGAGGTGCAGGGAGGGAAGCGAGCGGGCTGCGGCTGCGGCGCGCTGCCGGCGCATGACCCTTCACGGGGAGCTTTTTTTTCCCCCTCTCATCTGCTTCTTTTTTTGTTATTCTGGTTTTGTGCGCTCTCTCGTGTCTGTGCTTAGTCGCGCCACGCAGATAAAGGCAACAGGCCTCAGAAGAAGAAAAAAAAGGAAAAGAGGTGCCGGCCTATAGAGAGAGTAAAGGGTCAGCGCAGCAGCTCTAACACACAGACACGTACGCACGGAGACACACGTAGACGCCAATGGGGAAGCTGCAGGTGTGCATTTGCGGTGCCCGTAACCTGCACGACAACCAACTCATCAGCCTGCCTGACCCCTACTGCCGGGTGCGTCTCGGGGACCGCCGCTTCAAGACGAAGGTCGTCAAGGACTCCCTCAACCCCGTCTGGGACGAGACATTTCGCTTTCAGGTGGCCGATGAGGCGACGGCGCAGTTGTGTCTGGAGCTGTGGAACAAAAACATCATCAGTGACGACCTCATGGGGACGTACAGCCTGTCGTTGAACAACATGACGCGGGGCGTGGTGCACGACGAGTGGTACATGCTGAGCAACTGCAAGACAAACGCGGAGTTGCACCTGCGCGTCTTGGCGTGCGACTTTGGCAGCAACCCACAGCCCAGTGACGCGTGGAAGGTCACCGCGGACATCGCCGACGACCCGGCGCTTGGCGCCGGCAAGAAGCCGCCGCCCCCGGCCGCCCCTGCGACTGTGGCCAGCAACGTGAACAACGCGCCGATGGACCCGAACGTCGGCCCTGCTGTCGTTCCCGCCGTAGTTTTAGCGCAGTCGCAGCCCTCCTCGCCGGCACTTGGATATCCTCAACCACAGCCCGTGTATTACCCTCCAGCCCCGCCAGCCCCGCCTAGCTGCTACCCACAGCAGCCAGCGTACTGTCCGCCGCCGCCGCCGCAGCCAATGTACCCGCCGCAGCCAATGTACCCGCCGCAGCCAATGTACCCGCCGCAGCCAACGTACCCGCCGCAGCCAATGTACCCGCCGCAGCCAACGTACCCGCCGCAGCCAATGTACCCGCCACAGCCGCAACCCCAGTACTCGATGAACCCAAAGGATCCAAACTTCCGTTACTGAAGCGGAGAGCGCAGCAGCAACTAAAAAATGAAAGCAGGAAACGAACGAACATGTATAAAAGCTTCCCTGAAGAAATGGTGATAGTGGCGAGGGTGCAAAGTTGTATCATCATTTAGTTGCGGCTCTCACGGCTGCAAAGTTCGGCCTGCCTCTTGTTCAGCTACCAAGAAGGTGGAAAATGGCGTATTTGCCTTTTTATGGAAAGAAAATGCCACTTTTCTTTGTCCAGTTGCTCTCTCTTTACCTCCACACACCTTCCTCTGTATTTGGAAACACGTACGTGTTTGTGACTGCCTGCCCTGTACGTGTGTATAGGAAGCCCCCTCGAACACGCCCAAACGCATTTTTTTGTTTGTTTGTAGATAGGTCTGTCGTGTGTGTCGTGTGTATGTGTCTGTCTGCGAAGAAGCGATGGAAGTATCTTGACGCATGGACACTGTGGTTTGAACTTGTATTGTGTTTGCTTTGTTCCCCATTAACGACGAGGTCTCAGGGCAAACTTATACGCGGTGCCTTGTTGCTGCGGAAGCAGCGGCTCCGAGGCAGAGCGAAAGAGCGAGCGGGGGCGCAAATGCCCAACGACGGGGATTGCCACGCATGCAGTCCGCTTCCAACTGTCTTCTTTCAGCTTTCTTGCTTCAGAAAAAAAAAGGGGGTGGGGGTCGTTGTGTGGGGCATCCGCTGAGTGGCGCCCCCTCACAAGACTTCCAAAGGCGGAGGGGGGAAAAAAAAGAAAAGGACACTACGCCACCACAGAGGCGAAGAAACGGCAATGAGTGACTCGGAGTCGATCGTGTTCCGTGAGCAGACGGAAACTGACTCGCCGCACGGCGGCAGTCTGCGCGGCCCCCGCGACAAACCCCACCAACCGCGGGAGGCGCTGCAACTTTTGGAGAGGCCGCCGCTTCCGCACTCCAAAAGACGGAGCTCCGTTGCGAAGGCCCCGCCTTCCCCAAAGACGGCTCGCCCGAGGTCGTCATCGGCGGCCGCCGAGGGGGGCCGCGACGAGAGGGCCTCTGAGCACAACCAGAGTGTTCAGTTTCACTTCGACAGCGCCGACACGAACGCCTCCACGGCGACAGGGGGCGCGGCGTCGGCGGCCCACACGCCGCAGCTGCCCCCCACGCACGAGGGAGGCGGCGAACGCGGGGAGGCACCGCCGGCGGGCGGAGGCCGCTCAAGCAGCCAGAGGACGGACTGGGGGGATGAGTCGATTCAGTTTTTCATGGAGGCCTCCAGCAACCGCTCGCGGCCGCGGGTCCTCTCACGCTCCGCGTCCGTGCCCAACGATAGCATCGTCTTCCACGTGATGGATGGCTCACAAGCGGGGGGCGCCGCCCCCTTGGAGACGGGCACCACGCCACAGGACACGGACGCGGAGAGCGCCGTCTCCACCATTTTGCATGAGGCTGAGGAGACAGATGAGAGTGCTTTGGCGAAAACGAGGCGGCCATCCAGCGCGTCGCACGCGCAACGAGTAGAAGAAGAAGGAGGGAAACCGCCAGCTAAGGCGATGCCCGCGAAGACGGCGAAGACGGCGAAGATGCCTTCAAAAAGGCTTCAACGCATTCGCCCAGCGTCCGCGCCCAGCGGGCGTGGCGCACCCCCGCCGCCGCCGGAGGATACTCAGGGGGCCAAGTTGGCAGGGAAGGCGCCTTCATTCACGCCATCGGTTGCACAAAAAGAGGCATCTCTGAGGCATAGTCCTGCTATGCCCGCGCCAGAAGCCGCTGAGACCGATGCGGCACACCCGGTGCCAGCGAGTACGCGTCCAGGGGCCGCCCCTGTGCCTTCCAAAGAGGCGCCGCGGCTGACAAAGGCGGCAGCAACAGGCGTGGCAAAAGCTTCGCCCCCAACACGACGCTCCCAAAGTGCCAATTCGGTGGGGCGGGCTGAAATAAAACATGCGCCCACAGCTGTGGGTAAGGCGTTGTCGGAGCGTTCGCCTCCCCGCGTCTCTGCGGAGGTGCCAGTGCCATACCCCAAGACGCAAGCCGATGCCACGCAGTCCTCTGCCCCGTACTTGCTGGACGAGTGGATTCTGCAGGCCAAGCTGTACACAGAGCACTGGCGTCTCTTCAATGACGTTCAGAGGGAAGAGATTGCGCGTTTGGTGGAACGCATTGCGAAGGCACGTCAACCGGAGCACCGTCTTTGTTCCCTCGACACGGACGCGAGGGAAAAACAACCGTCAGCTGCCGCACTGGGCGGATTTGCCGACCTTTTTAGGCAGAGACACCCCATCACGCAGGACCCTGCGGTGGCTGCTTCTGCCGCTGCCACGAGCACCTCCCACGCCGCGCAAGCGGGAAGAGGCTTACGGCCTGGGTCACCACGGCCGGCACTTTCGCTGCCCCCGAGCGGCGTCGCTCCGCGTGGTCCATCGGCGCCTGGGCGAAGGCGCGATCACGGTGTTACCGCCACCAGGCTGCTCAAGGCTGCCGCGGCAAGACAGTCCCCGCCAGAGCTGCAGGAGCTCCAACACGCCCCGGTGCAGGCGGCACGTGGCGGGTGGTTTGCGCGGCTCCGCGACACGGCCGCAGGTGAAGGCGCTGCAAAGCTCGCCCAGACTCTGGGCGTCATTTGGCCCCCACTCTCGCCGGACGCTCTCTTTTTCATGACTGGTGCCCGTCTGACTCCGCAGCAGAGGGATGAGTTCTACGAGGCGGTGGAGCTTCAGAGCGCGGCCTCTGGGCAGATGCGCACGGAGTTGCGGCGTGCTGCTGCGTCGCAGAAGCTGGAAAAGAAAGATGCTCGCCGGAAAAAATTGACGCCCTCACGCACCTCCATCCTGCGAAAGGCCTTTGCCTTGATGGACGTCGACAAGAGAGGCTCTCTTTGCACAACGGACCTTCCGGCGCTGCAGCATTTGCTCGAGGCGGAGCGGAAGGAGTTGGAGGCAACAGCAAAGGGTGGGGCCGCGACAGCCACTGTTCTTTCGCGTGCGAGGGGTGAGCTGCGTCAACTCACCGGCACGATTGCCGCCAACCGCACTGCTGCGAACACTCACGGCGAGAGCCCCTCTGCCGCTGCGGAGGCGATGTTGTACGGGCTTGTTATAGACGTTATCTTCCCAATTATTAGGGCCGCCAATTTGGTTGTGATCGACTTCGCATCCCTTGGCCTTCTGGTATTTGGGTCTTTGTATCTTTCTGAGAAGGGCGCGAGTGCGAGTTTTATGGAATGGCGGCAGGCAGCACATCGTTACTTTGAAGCGTTTGCGTAGACCATGTTTTGGCCTGTTTGTGGGGGAATCTCCGCTGAAGTGGCTTCGTATCCCTCGTTGCGTCGGCGCCATTGAGCGGAATCTGTCCCTCTCCCTACTATATATATATATATATACGTGCACATGTGTGTTGCTACTCCATGCTGCAATATCATTTGTACCGCGCTTTTACACACTCCCTGCTGTGTTTTTGTTCTCTTTTTATTATTATTATTATTTTGCGATGCCCTTGCGCTTAGCAACGACATCCGCGTCTGTCGTGCTGTCATGTGTGTTGAACTTCCTCCACTTCTTCTCTTTTTCTCTGTTTAATGTTTTTTTTTCTCTTTATTCTTTCCCGCCTTCTTTTGCGTCTGCGTGTGTCACGCACTCGTTGTCATGCCTCTTGTCATGTCTGCAAGCTTGCACAGCGACCCAGCATACGCCAATAGGGGGGCAGGCGGCGGGCCCCAGGGCAGGCGCCGACGTGCTTCTGTAGAGCAGTCGCATATACCTAAATAAATAAAAATAGGACCAGACGACAAGTGTTCCTTTGTTTTTTCTGTTTTTGTTTTGTTTTTTTTGCTCTGGTGAGTGAAACAACGCGCCGATGCACACGCCGTGTTCCTCCCTGGCAAGCGTGGCGGACGACGCCGGCTCGCTGCTGCAGGAGGCTGTCCCACGCACGGCGGCCAGGCACCTCTACGGGCGCAGTTCCCTCACACCGACGCCGGTGGACTCGAAAGCAACGACGCGAAGCTACGGCAAGTCGCCGCAGTCGTTGCGCAACGGAGTTTACGAGGCAGAAGGGCTTTGCAAGACGGGGCCACAGTCCCTGCTGCCGACTTTTGCCAGGGCGGATCGCGCTGACGTCGATGTCTCAGCAAGGTTGGAGCTTGAGTTCTCCAGTGCCGCGCAGTCTACCGGGTGGAGCGGCAGCACGTGCCGTTCTCTGCCCGACAAGATGCATCGTGCGGAGGGGTTCGCGGCGGCGGACAAAATGTTGCCCTGCAACAGTGGCCACTGCTGCCCCGCTGACGTCGCGGAGTTGACGCAGGTGTTCAAGGAGCCGCTGAAGACGCCGTGCACGCCGCGCACGCCGCCCCCGATGACGGAGGAGAACCGCCAGGGCCCAGACGGCGCCGAGGACATCCAAAACCCCACGTCAGCTCCCTCGCCGCACACGCCGCTGGAAAACATCGTTCGCTTCCATTCGCCGCACTGGTCGCCGATTCTTGCAACGCCGCAAAAATCAGCCCGACCACCCACCAGTCGATTCTGGACACCGTTGACGCACCGGCGTGTCTTGTCCTCCTTGAGTTTCGGTGCGGAATCGCGGGAGGCCTGCGGCTTGCTGCCGCACATAACCCAGGCGGATCATCTGCCGCCCAATAGGAACCCGTGTTCACCTTATCGGGAATACGCCGATGAGATGCAGCTCTTGCTTCAGCAGCATCCGGCGAAGGACTGGGATGGCGGGGTGGTTCCCACAACGAACGGGATGCTGCGGCGTGTGGACGCATGTGTCGTGGCGCTTGAGCAAACGGCTCCCGGCGCCAGTGCGGAGTGCACAGAAGGGCGCTGGTCTTCGTGCTGTCTTCCTGCAGGAGAGGCTGGCGAGGCTGTGAGTGCCTCTTCGAGTGTGGCCTCCAGGGAGGAGGAGGAGGAGGAGGAGGAGTCCTTGGACCTTTCTTGCATTCTACTCGAACCGAAAGACGCGGAGCGCGGCAGTGCCTGGCCGGCAGCCGAGGCGGGCGCCAGCATTGCGGCACACGCCCCGGAAGACAATTATGGACTTCCTGACGACGCAGCTGCCTTGCGGAGCGTGTGGCCTGAGGCGTGCCAGACCTCACCGGAGAAGACCCGTGAAGGGGTGTGGGACGCACCCACACACCACTCCGTGGAGAGCCAGCCCTCGTCTGGGCTTATGCCCAAGACGCTTTTGGAGACCCGCAATTTCGATGAACTCTGCAACCGGGAATGGGGGCGGTCCTCCTCCTTGCCACTCGCCACGGGATTAGCGGACAGCACGGCACGGTGTGCCCCAGCTGCTGGTGTGCACGCAGCATGGATGACGGCAAAAGAAGATGGGACCCCTGTGCTGCATCCAACTTTCTTTTCCTCCTCGTCGGTTCGCGTAGACTCGCAAAACTTCTGCTCCACGGACAGGTCGGGGCAAATGCTGCACCATCTGCGCTCCTGCAACGAGTCTCCCATGAAGCTCTCGAGCATCGGCGACTGCACCCTTCTCGAGCCCGCGATGAGTGAGGAGGATGAAGAGGATGAAGCAGAACCGGGAGATCGTTTCCGCAGTCATCACCGTTATCAATTTCTGCATTGGCTGGCATGGCGAAAGGCGTATGACTTTCTTCCCATCCATGTGGAGCGCAACGGAGTTTCGTGGCTCGTGACGCATCGCGTTGATGGCCTTCCGTACGTCGTCAAGGAAATCCCATGCAGCCACAAGGGCGCCCTGCAGTGGGAGCTGGAGTGCCTCACCCTTGGCAACGCCCCAGTGAACGCGCTGCAGCAGCAGGCAGCCGATCATATTGCGCGGTATTTTACAGTGGCGCCGTACCGCGTTGTAGCCTGCGACTCACAGGATTGTATGGCATTCCTGCTGCAGACAGAGTACTTTCCCATGGGAAATGTGATGGAGTGGGCGCTTGATCCACACCGGATTCGAGGCAAAGACTTCCATGTCCCTCCAGAAGACTTTTGGTCGTGCGTTCTCCAGCACGGCCTTCTGGCAATGGAAAGCCTTCACGCGGCTCACATTATTCACGGAAACCCGCTGCCCTTCAACGTGTTTATCCACAGTCCAAGGCATTACAAACTCGGTAGCTTCGGGGCTGCCGTGAAGTTTCCGAGCACGTACCCTGTGGGATCTGCAAATGTGTTTTTGCCAGCACACACGGAGGAGGGAGCCGAGCGGACACCCTACGAGGTGGATGTCTTTCTCTTTGTGCGCGGTGTGCTGCAGCTGCTGCATCACTGCATAAACCAGCGAAAGGCGGCCACGCAAACGCACCAGCCGCGCGACGATGACGGCGAGGAGACGCTCAGCAAGTTGTTCCTTACAGACGCTACAGTCCTCTCCCTCGCCGACTTCCAAGCTGATCGGGTGCAGGGGTACCATGCCATTTCCGACCACCTCTGGAGTGTCTTGCAGGCCGCTCTCCACGGGGATCCGATATCCACGCTGCTGCGCATGTTGGACGCCCCCTCACGGCCCCAGTGGGCACTCCGATCGCTGTTTTCCTTGGAGGAATCCTATCTGCTGCGGCGTAGGCGTCGGCTGGAGCAGTTACTCGAAAAACGCTTCAGGGAGAGGCCACAAACTGCGCAGCAATGCGAGTCGCCGCGGCTGCAGCCTGCGAGCAGCCCCGAGGATCTGGCGACGGAACCGGAGTGGTGTGCTCAGGGGCACGCCGCGCCGCGTAGCCCAGAGGTTCAGGGCGGATGTCACACGTTCGCGTTCCCGCTGCCGCTGGCTCCGAGGGCCTCTGCCGCGCAGGGTCTTTGCGTGTCTGTGTCTCCCACGCGAGGGAAAACGCAGTCAACACCCCACAGGGTCGAGTGGCATTCTCGCTGCTGCCAGAGGCTAGCCAGTCAACCAAGCCGGCAGCACGGGGAGGCCCAGTTAAGTTCTCTTGAGACGTCTGCGGAGTCGTTTCTGCTCCTGCGCTCGTGTGCGTCGCGGGGGATGGGGCTCTTTCAGGAGAACAGCTTCCTTTTCCGCAATCCGCTGGTGGCAGACGTCGAAACCGCCTCGACCACGAAGTCCGCACACAGTGGACACCCACCGGACGTAAGTGGCCGTATGGAAGACAAGACCCCCTCTCCCTGTCCAAGCCGCTTGGATGCAAACCTCTCCTGGACGGTTCGTCAGATCATGGCTGTTATGAATTGGGAGGACGCGTTGAAAGGGGTGGCTGCACGCGGTACCGGGAGCACCCCCGTCCGCGACTCCTCTCCATCCACACGCGGTGTTGTGAGACCCCTCACGTCGTGGGAACGACGAGGGCCCGGTTCATGTGAAGTGTCCATGCGGGCGCAACACGAAGTGTGAGCACACCCACCTGAAGGAAACAGACATACAGACATCAAAAAAAAAAAGGATAGATGGCGACCTCTCTGTTTTTTTGTTTGTGTTTTTTCTTGCGTAGAAGAGACGGGGCTGCAATACGCCTGTACAGACCACAATTAGCCATATAACTATTTTGTTTGCTTCCCTTTATTTTTGGGTCATTCGGATTACTTGTTTTTTGTACCTTTTTTTTTGCCTGTACAACACTGGGAATCTGCTTTTTGTTTTTATTGTACTTGCTTATGTATATAACTGTATAACTGTATAACTTACTTTGTCTTCTTTTCGTCTTCTTCTTGTCCGTGCTTTGGTTTTACCGACCGCGTGAGTTCTGTAACTTTTTAAGGAGGGGGTCGGCTTTGCGATGCCGCCGGGAGGTCTGCGGTGGCCGTGGCTTTTTCTTTCTTTCTTTCTTTCTCTTTGTGTGTGTGTGTGTGTTTGTGTGTGTGTGCCGCCTCTGTTGTCGTGCCTCGTTGAGCTTCTTTTGCGGTGTGGCCCACGAAGGCCTCCTTTCCTCCCTGTCTGTCTGTCTGTCTGTCTGTCTGTGTGCCTGCACGCGTGTGTACGCTGACTTCTCCGTCGTTGTTGTTGTTGCTTTTTGCTTTTCTTCTCTCTTGTCGGGGGATGTGGCGAGGGAAAATTACGCCGGCGCCGCATGTATCGATGCCGCTCCGCGCACAAACTTCTCGAGCTTGACGCGGCGTTCCACCTCTTCGCGCCGCCCTGCCGCACCGTCGTGGACCTCGCGGCGGCGCCCGGCGGGTTTGCGGAGGTGGCGCTGCAGCAAATGGCCCGTGCGGCCGCCGGCTCCGCGGCGGGCCTGCGCCCCGTGGTGGTTGCCTTCGACCAGCGCCCGATGGAGCCCATGCAGGGGCTGCTGCCCGTCCTGTGCGACATCAACGACCACGCACGTGTCATGGCGCACACGTCCAGTCTCTTACGGCGGCTGCAGGCCGCAGACGGCGGCCCAAGGAGAGACGTGCACGCCGTTCTGCATGACGGGGTCTCGGTTGTGAAGGCACAGTCATCGTTTTCCGTGACGTATGGCCAAAATCAAATGGCGCTCGGGGCGCTGCGACTAGCCTGCTCCTTTTTTGCCTTGCCTGCGCACACCACACCGGCACGGCCCCTCGCACGCAAGGGCGACAAGGCCCGTTGAGGCGACCACACGACGGACAACGACGTTTGTGACAAAGGCCATGCACTCCACGCACTTTAACACGTTACTGGAGGCGTGCAAACTTTACTTCCGCCGCGTGTACGTGCACAAGCCCTCCGAATGTAGACCTGAGAGCTTGGAGACGTACATTGTGGCACTCGACTTCTCCGCACCACGGTGGCTGTGGGAGGAACGGCGGGCGAAGGGCCTGCACCCACAGTTGAGCCTCCCACCTCGCCGCGAGGACGTCGTCGCTGGGCGCCAGATGATGTGGCGGTGCTGGGGCTGCCGTGAGGTTCGCTTAGGGACGTCGCCGTGTCCGTTGTGTGTCCGCTGAGGCGTAACCCGGACCTGCCTCTCATTGCAGGGGGTTTTCATCCTCGTTGTTTCACACACACACACGCATCTTTGTTTGCTTGTTTGTTGTTGTTGTTGTTTTTTGCCTGAATTGAGCTACAGGCGGGAAGTCCAATTATTATTTTTTCTTATTTCTGGAAACAGCGAGAAGTCGACTTGCATTCCTTCACGTATTATGTTGCCGGCAACAGCGCCGCCCCGCTGCTCCGGCGCTTGGATGCCGCCGTTTCTCCCCCCCTCCCACCCCTGGCCCTCTCTGCCGCGTGCAGGTTGCTCGTGTAGGGTTGGAGAGGCCAAACACTAAGTAGTAAAGAGGGAGTAGATAAGCACAGCCAGACAGACACACAGACACACAGACAGACGCACTCATCGATATATTTATTTGTAAGGAAATATAGGGGGGAATGCTGCGACTCGTGCTGGTCACACGCAGATCTGCCGCTGCTGCTGCGCCGTCGGCGCTGCGCCGCTGCTGTACGGTGACGCCGTCTACGGCGTCACACCCGGCGTCAGCCCCAGAGACCCCCACGGCGAGCGCACCGCAGCCGCAGCGGCAGGAAACTGTTTTGCAGCCCCCCTCGCTGCCGCTGTTTCAGCTGCTGGCGTCGGTGGTGGGGGAACTGCAGAAGAATCACTCACTCGCGGCCGTGCGAGCCAACGAGGCGGCAGCGCAACCT